ATGGTATTTCCGACTCTTACGTTTTAACTCTATCAGTTTTATCCTATTTCTAATGTGTGAATGTGTAAGCAGACTTAAAAGGAAACTTATTTTTCATTTCAGTGACCCATTACATGTGTTCTGGTGAAGTCTTCCAGTATCCCATGATTCTATTTTTCCTGTCCCTCTATCTGTTGTCCTAGAACCCTTATGTTGTGATCATCTTTACATTACAATGGAGTAGTCTGCACAAGAATTGGGGAGGTGGAAGTCTGAATTTACCTGTCTTTTATTTCCCACAGTTTCTGTAGAACACACCTTAATTTTCTTTGGGTACCAAAGGAAGACGATTCCTTTAAGTGCTTATACTGTATAGGTATACTGATCCTTTCCAACTGTCTGCTATATTTCTCTATGGTGGGGAACTGAGATATAACTTGCAGGCTCATAATACATGCTGCGTAACTACAAAAAACTAATGGGTATTTATAATCAGATGTTCTGCAGCCTAAAGGCTGCTTTCAAGATACACAAGCATTAGAAGCCACATCATTTGATTAGTTTGCTAAAGTGACATTTGAGAGCATAGGGACAAAAATACTAAGGGAAGTTGACTTAATGGTGTGAAATTTCAAGAAGGGCTGGCAATACAATATGTGATATTAAGAAATAGATGTTTAAAATTCAAGAACAGATGAATCCCAAGGAAATTATAGTGACTTGAACTTGTATTGTTCTTGGATTGTGGCCATTGCTTGCAGGTAGAATTTAAATAGCAACAAAGGGTTTCGTTTTATTCATTTTATTATTATACTGTACGGTCATAGACCCGAAAATACAAAGATAAAAACAGTATATAGGATATACAGAATAAGTAAGTTGTTAGAACATATCAGCAGTATAAAACTTGAGTCATGTGGTTGTCTTAGCATAACATTTTATGAATTCTTAAAACAGAATAAAAACTTAGCCAGCGACTGTGCTATTAATTGGTTCTCTATGGACAGCTGAAACTTCAGGCAGACTGTAGGGGGTATACTAGTACACTTATACATTATTGGGTAGAGGTAACGGATACATTCAGACCTATATAAGCTACATTCTAGAATGGTGTGTGCCAAGGACTCAACTGTTTGTTCCCTACAGGGGCATATCCTTTCTCCATAAGGAATTTTATTAAAGCGCCCTTTTAACAAGGCTGAGGGAAAGCAATTAAACCTAGCCCTTGAGAAGACAAAATGATACCTTGGTGCTGTGATTTGATATAGATAATTTGCTAACCTGGTAAAGTTAAATTTTAAACCTAAGTACCGTATTTTTCCATGTATAAGACCCCCTCATGTATAAGACCCCCCCCCCCCACTTTTCTAACCCCAAATTAAGAAATCTAAGCAGGGCTTAGCAAGTGTAGGGGAAAAGGGATCAAAGCGCTGCAGGATTGCTTTGATCCCTGCTTTCCTTTTGCTAAGGATTAGGAAGTGGAGGGGTAAGCAGGGATCAAAGCCCAGCAGGAACATTTGATCCCTGCTTCCCCCTCCACTTGTTTTTGTACTTTCCTCAGCTTACTTCCATGTATAAGACGACCCTCAATTTTTTGTCTAAAAATTTTAGACAAAAGTATAGTCTTATACACAGAAAAATATGGCACATTGGTGAGCAGGTCCTGTCTGCACATATTGGTGAATACTGGAGATCTATATCTTTAATGTGTTGTACAAGCATTGACTTGATACTGTCTTAAGGCTGACTCAGAAAGAAGTCCATAGAGAAGCCTAAAATATGTAACTTGTCAGTAAATCCCTTATGCCATGAGCTGGCAAAGACATCTTTTTGTAAACAGTATAAATACCCACTGGTTGTGGGAGCAACCAAAATTGGAATGCATACAATCAAGCTTGACATTCCACTGATTGAAGGCCAGCCTCCAAACGCAAGGCAGCTGAAGAGACGCATCTTGGCATGGCAAGTAGGAGTCGCAGCGAGTTTGACAAGACACTTTCAACTGAGGGATTGAAACCATTTATCCAAATCGCAATACCATTCAGGAGCTGAGCAAGAATTTTGTACTTAACTATCTGTAGAGCAGTAGGGATGAACTGCCCATCCTGGACATAGTGGTATCATCTGAGAACTTTAGCAACAAAGGGGAAATTATGAAATTCCTAATTTACATGGAGATTACTCATTCATAGGTTGCAGGTGACTTGACACCAGATAACAACAATTTATATGGATGGCTGAGATAAATGTTGAGGTATAATGCTAGGGAATAAGTTAACATATTTGAGGTTGTTTCAGGAGGAAAACATTTATTTAGTAACTTCAGTTTTCAAAACTTTGCATTCTACTATTCATCCTTGCAATATGTAACTGAAGAACATTTATTGTGCAATTAAACTGGAATGAAAATGTGACCTTATCTTTGTGCTGTTTATTCTTTTCTTTAAATTATTTTCACATAAGGAGCTCTTTCCCAATTTTTATAGCCTTCCTACCTTGTTTAGAGGAATGTTATAAAAGACAACGGTTTTCCTAAAACAGATCAAACAGATGAAAAAAACTGGTGAAATTGCTCATCTTACAAGATGGTGAGGAGCTTTTTGAGTTTTTTTTTGAAACTGGGGTTGAGGTACAAAGAGGTGGAAGTATGGTTTTATGGAAGTTGCTTACCCTTGTCTTAGACACTTTGAAGCAATGCTGATAAGCTCAATGTGCACAAATAAACTTTTCAATCCCATCACATGTATGGTGTTTCATGGATGAGAAGCAGGTGTCAGATAAGAGATTCTAGGTGGATGTGGTTGTCTAAAAGAAAAGCATTGCCCTCACAGAATATTATTATGGATTGGATCACTACACAAAACATAGCAAGACATGCCCTCTTCCATCTAACTACATACATGTAGGTGATTTCCATGGTTTCCATGTTTACTTTGTGTGGTTATAGAAAAATGAACTCTTCTTTAAGCAGAGATTCAGGATTCCATGAGTAATTATCCTGCTTGAATTTTATAGCATGGTGATAAGGTGTTTAGGATCTTTCTGGTTTATTTACAAGGAAATCTGTGCAGTCCTGATCCAGAGCTGGACCATAGCACATCTCCCCTCAATCCCCTTCCTCTCAAGTGCAAAAAGGAAGAAAGTTTCCAAGGATTTTTTTTTTCACCATAGCATAGGTAGATCACAAAACAGCTGTCAGAAAGAGTTAAATCTCCCCTAAATGCATGTAATGGTTCTAATCTGATCCAAATGAAAATCCACATGCACTTTATTTGGGCATAAAAATGCAAATATTCTTGAACTGCATACTATAAATGTAACATATATAATTTAGCCTTCAGGAGCTTTGCTTATAGCTCCACTTTTTCTGACTAATTACCAGGAGCTTTAAAAAATTGTAATCCCCACGTAAAACTCCATCCCAAGACATACATAGTTATCTTCATCACCGTTAGCTTTTAAAAAGCTTTAAAAATGCATTTGTCCAAAGCTGTTCTTAATTAAAATACTATGCGTAACAATTTCATAGTTTACCTTGCTGCTAGTTTTCAAGCATTTTTTTTATTTTTACATATATGTAGTGCTGACTTTTGCATTATTATGCTGTTTGAATACAACCATGCTTTTTATTTTATTTTATTTTATTTCAAGATGATTTAGATATAGCCAAGGAACATTTAAATGATTAAATACTTAAACAAACAAATAAACAATATTTTCCAGTTAAGAGAGAAAAAAAATCTAAAGATCTTTGTTGATAATAATGTGCTGAACAGCAGTTTAAAATTTGAAGGAAAACCAAAGAGGTTACTAATATATCTCTGGTCTGTGCAACATAGATTTTTTTTAAAAAAAATCTGTGTTTTTAGGAGTGTTTGGCTAGCAGTGCTTAACTAGATCTATCCACCTCAGACATTGCTTTTCTTATCAGTAACTTCAAATTACACATTCTACTCTACTAATCCAGCAGAGAACACTTAATTAATGTCAATATTGTTTAGTGAGATTTATTTATTTCTTCATCTTTATTTAAAACATCTTGATCCACTTTTCAATCAGAAAGTCTTCAAGGCAATTAACAAGTATAGATTAAAACATTATAGAAAATCATCTTCTTAAATTAAAACAAACAAGACCTGGTACAGTACAAACAGGAGCAAATAGAAGAGAAGTGGGCAAATAAAAGAAGCAACCAATCATATATTTATACTCTTTATGGTAGAGAAATGGAACACTCATTCATTCTAAATCATAGCATTAGATTTTGAAAATACCTTTTTATTGTTAAAAATACCGTTGTTATTGACTGTTCTGTTTGCATTTAATTTTCCTCTTACTTCAGTTTTTAAATGCTGGCCAGTGTTAATTCATGGTGTGACAGTTTATTGGAGAGTTCTCCATGCAATAATAAAATGTGTTGGACATGTTCTGCTCAACTCCTGCTCGCTTCACTGGGGCTGGCTAGGAGAATTTTCTGACTGTCTGTGTTCTGCAGGTTGGATCTTTGTGTTTCCCCAATCTGCCAACATTAACTGCCCCCAAAATACACCAACCAAGGCAGCTGAATTGCCTGTAGCCCCAAGACAAGGATTGTTGTCTCTGTCCTGGCAGTAACTGTGTGCTTGCATTAATAAAGGCTTGTGGATGGTACCATCTTTTGAAAATATGGTGCCCCTCCCCTTCATTTCAGAAGGACAGGAATAGTGACAAGTGCCCTCTGATGCATCCGTGTTCTCAATAAAGGATCTCTTGGTCTTTAGCATTAAAGACACAACAAATAACCATCAGACCAGTGTGACCAGTAAAGACAGACCTAGCCATGGCACTACTGGCACACTTCAAGAATGAATGCTTGCCACAACGTAATTTTTTCCAGATTTGAGCATTGGGGGGCTAGATTGCCCATGTACCTTGTTGAGATAAAGATTGTTTCACACATTTGTGTGTAAGCCAGAAGCATTTGATGACTTATTCTTGGTGTTTTGGGTCCAACTCTAAACCATGGTTTTGTTCTTTGACAGTATTCCACCTGTCCAATAAAGTCACCAGTGTGGTTCCAGAGAGTGTGTTGCTCATCATCCTCGGCGTGTGCCTGGGTGGCATTGTGTATGCAGCTGACCATATCGCCTCCTTCACCCTGACTCCAACGGTCTTTTTCTTCTACCTGCTGCCACCCATTGTCTTAGATGCGGGCTACTTCATGCCAAACCGACTCTTCTTTGGCAACCTGGGCACCATCCTTTTGTACGCAGTAATTGGAACGATCTGGAATGCTGCCACGACAGGACTTTCCCTCTATGGGGTCTATCTCAGCGGAATCATGGGTAAGGCTCTTGGCCAAAGACATTATTTCATTATTCTCAAAGGGCTCATTACTTTGACGGATCAAATAAAGGCCAAGTAAGGGGCATTGCTGGAACTAACTTGTCCTGTTCATTTTGCTTTGGTGGTGGTGGTGGTGGTGATGATGACGTGCTGTCAAGTTAATTCTGATTTATGGTAACCCTTTCCAGGACTTTCTAGGTAAAGAATGTAGCGAGCGCGCTGAAGCCTCTATTATATCAGGCCTTCAGGAGGTGCTCACGCCTCTTCTTTAGTTGCTGCCACAAATACCAATTCAGTACCAATTATTTACTGAGACATGTGTTGCTTTGAAACTTAAACTTGTTTATTTGATCAGTAATATATAATAGGTAAATCACAAGTTGCTAATCAATTTCTCTCACTCATTGAACTCACTAACACACAGAACCCTACTCTCACTGACTTTCTGGCTCACTCTCTCACAGACTCACAGATTTCTCAGGCTCCCTCTCATACTCAATACACCCCCCCTTTATATCCCAGCCCCTCCCCCTTTTGCACCACCTTCCGTTCACTCATTGGCTCCTTTTCCCCTGCTCAGCTGTGACGGACAGGTGAGGGCAGGGCTGAACGCTACAAAGAATACTTAGAAATGATTTCCAGCTCCGTCTTCTGGAGGCTCTCTGGGACTGTGCAGCTTGCCCATGGCTACACAGGCTGGCTGTTCTCCCAGGAGACCTAGTGGGGAATCAAACACCCAACCTCTGACTCTACAACCAGATACCTAAACCACTGAGCTGTCTAATTAGCCAACTAACATTTATTCATTAATAAATGAATGTCATTTATTCATTATTATGAGTTTGTTCAGCCCTTCTCACAAGGACAGTGCAAGGTAGAGAGTGCCAGACCCAAGACCACAGCTTTAAAGTTCAGTGGGGATTTTGTACCTGGGTCTAACCCCTGCACAGCACTGAATTTCATGAAGTTTGTCTCAGTAAGGATTCCCCACTCCTGCAGAGTGGTTATTAGCTTGGTGGCGGCGGCAGTGGTGCTGGTGGCTGCTGTAGTTGCTGCTATAGAGCAAACTAGATCTGGGAAGTAAAAGAACTCACCTATAGCAGTGCTGGTAACACTGTACCTGCCAGGGACAATGCAAAAGGAATTTAATGCCTGTTCACATAGGCTTCCTAATTTTGCCACATCCTCTAGTAGAGGGAAGGGAAGAAACAGGTTTTTCTGTTCAAAAGTGAAGAGGCTTTTAACTAGATGGCCACCTGTTAGGGTCACTGTCACACCTTTGTGCAGCTTTTCCGCAGCAGCAAGGAGCTGATCTAGCTGACTGTAGAGTTCACTTCCAATTCTTTGGTACTATGATCTGCACAGCAAGCCAGCAGAAATATGAGAAAATGACAATCTTTTCATTTAAAAAAAGGTCTCCCATTTCAGTTTGCCTGTCAAGATCTGGTTGCATAATTTCAAAACCACATTAAGGCTACGTTTATCCTTCTAAAGTTACAATAAAGCGTGATTACCATCTTGGTAGTATTTAGGATTTGCAAGCCACTAAGGTGTTTGTGTTAAGGTTTAACCTACAATAAGAATTGCAAAATTAACCATGAAGGATTGCTCTATTTTTCCTTTGTATGTGTTCTGGACAATCACTGCCAAAGCAAACCATCTAAATTCTAATGTGAGAATATGCACTTTTATGCAATTGTTGAGATAGATGAACGTGAACGTGCTTCGATTGTTCCCATTTGGTTTTGGAAAAGAGTTTATTTATATAATGTTATTATCATGAAATGTTTCCTTTAAGCTGTCATGAAGAAAACTTCAACTTCATGCTCCTTATCATTTTAAACACACGAGGAAACTATTTTCTAGCTAGTATGTTACTTCTCTGTTCTGTTTTTGGTAGTGTTGCATCTATCATTGAAGTTTTCTGACTATCAATAAAATTAAGATATCTAATTCTGGGAAATTTATGTTATCTATTCCATAAGTGGCTTATGGCTGGAGCCATACATCTACCCTAGTTTTGGAGGTGAATCCCTCCTGGGCCATTTCATTTTGTGCTGTTTCAGCTAATGGGTGCAATTTAGATGCAGCAGAAAGAACACTAAAATAGCAAACATTCCTATAAATATTAGCTCGCTTGCTTCTTCAAGATTATCAGAGGAACACAATTGGTAATTTATAAAAAAGATAAATGGTGCATTATAGCAATTGCTTTTTAAAAAATCTTTTCTCCCTTCTTCTCATGAATACTTCCCTTGAGTAAGCAGCTGTTCAAATTATGCAATGATGAAGAGGCCACAGAATAGCATTTTTTAATTTTATATGAGTTATTGTTTAATTGTATATTTTGAAAATTCAGCAGTGCAATAAGCATTGGTACTAATTTACAGAGTTTGCTATAATAAATTCACCCACACTATCTCTTAGAAAAAACTGTTACATCTTGTACATATTTGTTTTGCTCTGATTGTAAAATTTTTCGAAGAGGTAGTAACGTGTTTAATACAATACTGGGCTGTATTCAAGAGGAGCAGGAATATCAGTTTCTAAAGCCTTTTAACACATCAGTACTGAAAAGACACCACCACCCCCAACTTTTCTTTAACTGTATATAGAGAAAGACCCTGCTACACCATTTCTTCACTAATGCCCTGCATCTGAATTTCAATGTATTATCCATAAAGGGATGATTTAATCCTCATGTGCATTTAACAAATCTTCTTTTTATCTCTCCACTTTGGACTTTCTGGTCCCATGGCTCTGAGTAGGGCTTCCATATTTATCCTGGGATAAATTTCTCATTTTCATATTCCCATGTTCATTCACCAAAATGTGGCTGAAGTGAAATTTGTTATCTTATTTGAACTGGGAGACATAATTAATAAAATGACAGTGACAAAAATTACAAGTTGAAGCTGAATTATTTATAGACAGGGACATCAGGATGTACACAATCTGACAAGGTTTCTCTCATGTTTTGTTCGGTTGAAGCAAAATAGGATGTAATGAGCCAGATTTGTCTTTGGGCATACAACCACTTTTAGGGTTTGTTTGTTTTTTTGGTACATTACGTTGTTTTTAAATAAACCTAAATATTACCCAAGCTGTTATGGCTTGGACGGTTGGAGCGTCTGACTACCTAGTATGAATCTCTGCTGTGTCTGCTGGAAGAAGGGTCAGCCAAGTTCACCCAGAACATGTGCGGTTGATGGGGTTAAATGGCCTGCCACCTGTGTAACCTTGGGCAAGCTGCACCACGCCAGCACACAGCAGAAGGAGGGACTGGTAAACCACTTATCAGTACATTATACCTAGAAAGTCCAGGAAGAGGTACCATACGTCAGAATTGACTTGACAAACACATTACAGTGGTGCCTCGCATTACGACGTTAATTCGTTCCAGCGAAATCGCTGTAGAAAAAAACGTAGTAAAGCGAAAATAAAAAAGCCACTGAAATGCATTTAAACCTGGTTAATGCGTTCCAATCGGCTAAGAACTCACCGTCCAGCGAAGATCCTCCATGGGGGTGGGTGCCTGTGCAGCGAAAAATGGCTCCTAAACACAGCAGGGACTCATTTTGAGCACCCGGGGGCCATTTTGAAAACCCGACGATCAGCTGTTTTGATAGTCGGGAAGCGAAAATCGGTTCCCGAAACAGGGAACCGATCATCGCGCAGCGAAATTCCCCCATTCAAAACATCATTTTGCGATCACTTTTGCAATCGCAAAAACCTCATCGTAATGCAGATTCGTTGTTAAATGGAGCGCCCGTCTTGCGAGGCACCACTGTATTTGTGATCAGCCCCAAACTTTGAGGATCAGGGAAGCATCATTGGTGGCAATGATTTGCTCCTATACCATTGCCTTGACCTACATTTCCTTTGAACTGCACTTATTAATTGTTAGGTAGGGGCAGCAGCATGCATTTCTTCATCTCCATTTTTACTGAGTGGAGAAATACAGCAAGGTTGTCGTTTCTCCGTATCACCTTTCCTTTTAATCTGATTATGGGTGTACATGCGTGCAGAGCTGGTAACATAAATAGTGGTTTTCAGTGTGCTTCTTTGTCAGCCTCCATCATGAACTTGTGAGAATGCTGTGGGAAAATTTGGCTCATTTTGTAAAAACGCTGTGACAAAAGTGAGCCCCATTTATTTTAAGGAATAGCTAGATGCTGAAATGGTGCTTGCTTATTTTTTGTAGGTGAACTTAACAGTGGATGGCTGGACTTCTTGCTGTTTGGGAGTCTGATAGCTGCTGTAGATCCTGTGGCGGTGCTGGCTGTGTTTGAAGAGGTCCATGTCAATGAAGTCCTCTTCATCATCGTTTTTGGAGAATCCCTGCTCAATGATGCTGTAACAGTGGTATGAATCAATTTAAGTTCATGACTCTGAATTAATGGAACCCTGAGGAATCACACTCACACTGGATAATTCAGGATTCACTTAAATAAATACAGAATAATAGTAATTGGTTTAACTGAACATTTACCAATAGATTTTGTCGTTGTTTTACTGTTGGGGCCAAATTATTTCTTTATCTTCATCCCAAGGGCCTTATACTGATACCCTTGTGGGTGACCTTGCAGAAGCTTCATGTCAGATGTAGATGCATTCCACGCTCTCTCTCAAATACATGCCTGTGTATTCACGGACCATACTCCTATTGATACACATGTACCATTTTCACACACAAGGCAAATATTTAAATACCCATAATTGTGTTCACACATATTACACAGTCACTCACTCTCAATTTATATGTCTTATATACACAGAGAGACATACACTCACATGTAAAGATGCCCTGCTCCCCCTGCAGTGTGTGGCTTGTAAATAAAACCCCTCCTGTTGGAGCCAATGGGAAGCTTTTTAAAGGACCAGTTGCTGTGCATGGCATGATTAGGTGGATTCTGGAGAGGGGAGTGAAAGTTAGCTGTTCCCTTCCTAGTTGTGATAGGCTTGGGAAGAGCCCTTCACTCACTCTAGTGAGAGACTTTTAAATATCTAATTATTGTACAGGCATGTTTAGGGGTGAGTTGCAGTATAGTAAGAGGGGAACTGAAGAGAAGTATAAGTCAGAGATTGATTTAGAAGTCCAAGCAAGCCACAGCTTGCTCCCAATGTGTGGCTTCCTCTCTTCTACCACTTTCTGTTTAGAGCAAAATTTGGGGAAGTTAAAGATATTGAACTGATACTTAGCAATGTACTATGCAAACCATTCAAGCTGGTCTTGTCTGGTTTCATAAAGTGCTTTCTCTTATTCATTCATGAAACCAATATTTTCCCTTCCTTATAGGTATTATACAATGTTTTTGAAGCCTTTGTCTCAATAGGAGCAGAAAATGTAACTGCTTTGGACTGTGTCAAAGGTGTTGGTGCGTAGCAGTTTTTTAAATTACTTATTTAAGGAAACATTTCGTAAATACTAAAGTTTATCTAATTTATTTCTCTTCGTACTTACAGTACAATACAATTGATGCTATTTAATATAATGAAAAAATAGAAATTAGTGACTAAAATCCTGTTGCACATCTACTTGTGCAATATGTATGATGTCATTGTCAGTGGCAGATTGTTAATGACTAGAGGCTTCTTTTTGTGATTTTGAGGTGAGCAAGTGCTCACCTCAAAAGTCAAGTGCATCCTGAGGACTGTCCACAAAAGCTCACGTTAAAATATAGTAGTTAGTCTTTAAGGTGCCACAACATTTTTGTCTTTGTTTTATCTTGTTTTATTTTTACATGAATTATGAAGTAATCAGAACACGTTCTCAATTTCAAGGTCATGCTGAGATTTTAGGCGAGGGGAATGATAATACAGTGGTGCCTCACTTAGCGATGTTAATCCGTGCAGGAAAAAACATCACTAAGCAATTTCATCATGAAGCGGTTTTAAAAAGCCCATAGAAATGCATTAAACCGGTTTAATGCGTTCCTATGGGCTTAAAAACTCACCTTATGTGAAAATCCCCCATAGGGGCGGCCATTTTCAGTGCCTCTAAAGCGAGGCAACACAGTGGGCGGCCATTTTGGAACCACCGATCAGCTGTGTGAAAATGGAGCCTTTGGGATGATTGCACCCCCCCACCAATCAGCTGTGCTGCAAGGGGTGGAGAGAGAGAGAACCGAAGCACCGCTGATTGGTGGGGGTTTGCGACGATCCTTTCATTCATACATTAACAACCGTCAGCATCACCTATCTGGCTACTCCTGCATGTTGAACTGATAGCATTTTGAAGAAAGTTATCTTGTAGGTCTTGGTTTTCAACATTTAAACTAAATTTGAGGTCAAAGGACCTCAAGATTTGGTTGCCTTTCTCCAAATCACTGGTGCTGGACTCTTCCACATGCCTTTCTGCCCCTCTCAGATTCTCTAGGTTAGCAACATTGTCTTCATTAAACCGGTTTAATGCGTTCCTATGGGCTTAAAAACTCACCTTATGTGAAAATCCCCCATAGGGGCGGCCATTTTCAGTGCCTCTAAAGCGAGGCAACACAGTGGGCGGCCATTTTGGAACCACCGATCAGCTGTGTGAAAATGGAGCCTTTGGGATGATTGCACCCCCCCACCAATCAGCTGTGCTGCGAGGGGTGGAGAGAGAGAGAACCGAAGCACCGCTGATTGGTGGGGGTTTGCGACGATCCTTTCATTCATACATTAACAACCGTCAGCATCACCTATCTGGCTACTCCTGCATGTTGAACTGATAGCATTTTGAAGAAAGTTATCTTGTAGGTCTTGGTTTTCAACATTTAAACTAAATTTGAGGTCAAAGGACCTCAAGATTTGGTTGCCTTTCTCCAAATCACTGGTGCTGGACTCTTCCACATGCCTTTCTGCCCCTCTCAGATTCTCTAGGTTAGCAACATTGTCTTCACCTGTGTTTTTTCTCAGCCTAGAGATGCCTACAATTTTGAGAGTCCACTCACCCCTTTTGAAACTTAGGAATCCAGTTTCCACATACATTGGTACCTAGCTACTTTTCTCCAAAAGGCTCAGAAGCACAACCTAGATCTTCAGTGTCAGGGATGTTCAGTGAATCCTCCCTTCTATGTATCACTTATTATGAGATGCACTGTATTTACAATACCCCAATTGCAAGCTAGAGCATGCCTTAAACCCCATGTTACCACTGGGGCATCACTCAAACCTTTCACCTCTAAGTGTCTTCAAGAAGAATCAGAAGGTATCTGAACAAGACATAAAACTCACTAGGTAACTTTGGGCCAACCTCTTTCTTTCTCTCTTCATCTAACCTGGTTTATAAAGTTGTTGTGAAAACAAGATGGATAATATCTATGGATCATTCTTAACTTCTTCTTTTACCTAGTCCCAATAGGGAGTCCAGAAACATGGTGAGGGTCTTAGCACCTCAAATACTTCCAAGGGCACACATTACTTTAACAAAACCTTGGAGTTTGAGTCTTTCCATTCAACTTGCTTTCTCCTTTGCTTCTGAAAGGACCCTTTGCCTGAAAACAAGCACATTTTTTCTTGCCTGTTGCCTCTGTGATATTAGCTGGCTATTGAGTGGGAGATGCTTGATTCTGAAGGATAAGATGTCTATTCAGAAAGACACAGAGTATTCTGTGTTTGAGATCCATGTGTTCACACTAGAGGTGGACACGAACCTCAGTTTGGAGGTTTGTGCCAGTTTGTATGCACTGCATCACAGGTCCTGCGCATTCCCTTCCCTTGCCTTCCTGGCAGGATCCCCCACTCATCAGCCAACACATGCTTCTCTCCTCCTCCTCTTTGGCTCTTTATGTCTTGGCTGATTGCCTATTCATATAAGGAGGTGGGGCAGGAAAGCCCATGCTCCTGCCAGAGACTGGTTGAGCAGCTGAAGATGAGGAGGAGAGAAGCGCACACCGACAGGTGAGTGGGTCATTGGCCAGAAGCGGGGTAAGGGACCACAGGGCACCTGTGGTGCTGCATGTGCAAACAGGCATGAACCTCCAAACCAAAGTTCATGCCCATCTCTAGTTCAGACCATCAGTCTGAGGTTCAATATTAGAAACTGAGTTCCATTACTCAGCTAGCAGTATGGCAACCCTTGACTAGACAGGCTCGCCCTTCTCTCTCTTTCAGCCTTTACTATTGCTATAAGCCTGGACCACATTGACATATATATGGAAAGCAAGAGGTAGAAGTATCTCCCCATCAAGACATAAATCCTCTTCACCACTGATGAACAATTGTACAGTTCAGTATAGCTTTGTGTGATGAATTTCTGGTATCACCTCCTTAACTTTTCTAGTTGTCAGAAAGGAACAATAAGAAGTAATTAAGCTAGTATGTATGCTTTTTGTTGCAGTGTCCTTCTTTGTGGTGAGCCTGGGAGGTACTTTGATTGGTGTTGCCTTTGCGTTCCTGCTCTCATTTGTCACACGTTTCACAAAGCATGTTAGAATCATCGAGCCTGCATTTGTGTTCGTGATCTCCTACCTCTCTTACCTGACAGCAGAGATGCTCTCACTTTCTGCCATACTTGCGTAAGCTGCCGTTAATCAACTCATTTTTATAAAGTGTTACTAGAGAAGATTCAAAACTCAATTATACAGATTCAAAACTATAGAACTATTGGGGAGTATGTATTAAAACTGCCTGAGTTGGTGAAAGTTGTAGATGAGGAACTGAGGAAATCCATACTGTACCTCGTTGTATAAATTACTTGTAAATGGCACTGCCATGTTTAGAAATTTGTTAGCTGCTCCTATATAAATATAGTTAGGCATCCTTCAGTCTCGAAAGACTATGGTAACGAAAGACTATGGTAAATATAAAGCTCACTATAAAGGCTAGGCCACAAATTATGCAATGCAGCCATGTGAAGAAAAATGGAGGAATTAGCTGTAGACTCTAGTTATGGGATGTACAGTTCTAAAAGTATCAGAAACAACCATGTCTTTAGATAACATGTGAGACTAATGTGGGTGCCTCAGGATAATTAAGATTGTACCATTCACTTAAAACACATATTGGGGAAAATCATGACCCCACAATTTGGAGAGCCAATTAAACTCTTAATTTTGAAGGCAGATACCCACACCCAGGGGATCTGGACTAGGGAGATCAATATATCTGAGTATGGCTTTGGAGCCCACATAGTCATATGTAGAGTTTAGATTGTGATTTTTAAAAATATATTTCAGAAGTTAGAATTTGGTAGAAATTACAAAGTATAAATTTATTAGAAAGAAGTATGCTTAAGATGTTCTTTTCCCTTTCTTCCAGTATAACTTTCTGTGGTATCTGCTGTCAAAAATATGTCAACGCAAATATTTCAGAACAGTCTGCAACTACTGTGAGATACACCATGAAGATGCTGGCTAGTGCCTCAGAGACAATTATTTTTATGTTCCTTGGAATTTCAGCTGTTGATCCTAGTATCTGGACATGGAATACAGCTTTTATACTTTTAACACTAGTATTCATCTCGGTCTACAGAGTCATTGGTAAGGAAATGAATTTTTAACTCTGATGAGACTGCCAATTAAGATTTAGCTTACAATGGTTGTTGTGGGATTTTCGGGCTCTTTGGCCGTGTTCTGAAGGTTGTTCTTCCTAACGTTTTGCCAGTCTCTGTGGCCGGCATCTTCAGAGGACAGCACTCTGTGCTCTGGTGTAGTTGGCTTGGGAGTGGAGTATTTATGGCTGTGAGACAGGCTTTTGTCTTTTTCTGTAGACGGGTGATTAGTGTATCTTGTTGTGGGTGTCTTGTTGTGGTAAGGAGGAGGGATTATCTGCCACTGTGGTTGATGGGTGTCATTAGCTGGTCTTTTGTGTGTAGTGATCCCTGGTCCTTGTGGCTGGGTAGAGTTGCTTGTGTCCCTCTAACAATGCTTAATCCACTCTTCTTCTCTCTCTCTGGAGCATTAAGGGAATGGTAGGATAAGGGTTATGTCTGGCCTAGAAGTTGATGATGTGTGCCTTTTAAATATTTGTGCAACCCAAGGATTGTTGCTTGGTGTGGGAGGCGGATCAGGGATCAATAAGGGAAAACAGTAAACATCTTTTAAAGTAAATACTGCTGTTTTAGACAAATGCCCATTACAGCCAGAGGGTTTCATGTGTGCTGCTGGTGTGGAAGTTCCCTGCAATGTTCACTCAGCTCTTTTTCAATTTAATGGACTGTTTGAAGTAGCAGAAGAGGATGGATGTGTAATTGGAACCGGATCATGGCATAGCTTTTCAGTGCCTTCAGTAGATGTCAGATGTCACTAGAATTGACAGATTTACCATTTCTATGAAAGCAACAATCTATGTAGCTTTGTTTTATAATTCTTCAGTGAATATATATTTCAGAATTCCTTTCCTAAAAGGAATATGCTAATGCAAATCTTTGTTATTCTGAGACATTTTGTTTTAACAGGTGTAATTATACAGACATGGGTTCTGAACCACTACCGAATGGTCCAGTTGGGAATAATAGACCAGGTGGTGATGTCGTATGGTGGTCTTCGTGGTGCTGTTGCCTTTGCTTTGGTGGTACTTTTGGACAAAAACAAAGTCGGAGATAGAAACCTGTTTGTCAGCACAACCATCATTGTTGTGTTTTTTACTGTAATGATTCAGGTATTCCATTTTTCAGCCGTTTTGTTCATTTGATGGGAAAGGCAGAAAGCATGAACAAGGTTTACTTCCCTAAATCCAAATGTAAGAGTGGGTGATATCTTTTATTGGACAACTAAAATATCAAGCAAATTGCAAGCTTTCATGGAAGAATCTTACTTCATCAGGCTGAGCACAGTCCTTACATGGAAAGTGCAGAAAAACTGTAGAAAAGAGTCCAAATATTGATGGTACATGCCTGTCCTCTTGAGGCTGTGTCTCACGTATCCTTGCAGCATGATTGGATACTTGAGACACAGTAAGACCAAATGGCTACTAATCACTCTGTGATCCACCCCCCCATTGCCTGATTCAAAATGTAAAGTTTATTTTTGGTGGGGAATCACAAGTTAGAGGTTGTAATTTGGTTTATTCACCAGGTAGAGGCAGCTAATTGTGCCAGATTAAAGCCAGATCAATGTTTTATGTGGTGAGCACAAGGAGATGTTTCTTCAGTTTGTAGTCACCTCTGGATGACATGAATAATCCATGTGGGTGGTGTCGACATGGGTCTTATAGGTGGTGCTGAGTGAGGCCATTCATAATATACTGTAGCCCAGAAAGAACAAGGAAAATGTCACGTGGCCCCTCAAGATTATGGGACCACACGGCCTTTTCCTTGTTCTCCCCTAAATCCAGTCTGACAATGAGTGGCTGATGCACAGCCATGCCATCCCTTTCTGCTCCCTCTTTCTTTCCAATAGAAAGGATTGTCTAAACCCCAAGAGTGCTGTGTGCTGCATATCTTGAGAATGAAATCCATTACTTTTCATTTAGGGGTGGGAATAACAACTGGAAAGGAAAGGGCATTAGACTTCAACAAGTGTAATATATCTTAGCCCTCATACGTTTAGAAAGGCCCAATGCAGTGTCCAAAACAGTTCCTAAATATGGGCTTTGCATAAGGTCAGTGAGCTGCAAGTATAATTATCTTCATAATTTTAGTAACAGAGATCCTATTTTATGTTTTCCCAAGGCACCGTTGGGACAAAACACAATTTGCTCTGTGCTAAAAAGTAAAGTTTCCGTGTCAGACCTGAGTATATTAATAGATTTTGAGTTAATATTTCACAGTAAAGCTGGTCCTCTCACTCACTTACAGATGTCAATATTATTTCCTATTAAAAAAAACATTATCTCAGTTTTTAAAGAGAAGGGAATAATATGTTCCTACTGTGTAATTAAGCATTTGTTTCAATAACACTCGGTCAGTAACCCAATAATTGAGTCTGAAGGATCAGGATTTCGTTATAGCAATTTAAACACACATAGTGATACTAGTCTGCATTGAGGTTATTAGCTAGAAATTATGAAATCTGCATACATACCAATCATAGTAATGAATATATCACTAAACTGATTTAATTCACATTAGTATGACCTTCACTTCAGGTTTTGTCAGCAGGTGCGAAACAAGAAAGAGGCTTACAACCCATGCCAGTATTGCCAACTCAAGTAGCTTCATCTGGGAAAGAACTTACATAGTTTTCATATTTGAAATATTTCCAGAAGTGGTGCAGGATATATTAAGCAGATGACAACCATTCTACTTGGGTAACGTAAGAAGTTACATTAGCATAGTTTACTTCAGAGTAAAAAAGACCTAGTGGAAGTAATCACGCCACATCAACCACAATAATCTATTAGCACTGAAAGGTAGCTATGCCCAATCCCAGGAAGTCTAGTATCAGTGTTAGCAGGCTAGCAAGCAATATTTATGCCATGGCCACTTTGTGGCATAGAGGAAATTATGCCAGCACAAGGGATAATCTGGATGCTTGCAACATCTGATTACACAAGTGTTCACTTTGAGTGGCTGCAACTCACTGAAAGGCAACTGTGTCTGTTGGTTGGTTGGCTGGTAGGTTGGTTTGCAGGGTAAACTGAACTTTTCCCTACTGTCAGACTTCACCATATATTAATGATGATAGGTGATGAAACTGCCTAATGTTTTGATGTAGTGACATACATGTGCTTCCTCTAACATTTCACTTTCTGATTATGTGTGAGTCAACCTCTATCATTTATTTTAAACAAAGTGAGAGTAATCTGTCTATTTCCCTCTACAGGGTTTGACAATCAAGCCTTTGGTGCAGTGGTTGAGAGTGAAAAGAAGTGAACACAGGGAACCCAAACTTAATGAGAAGCTCCATGGCAGGGTAAGCAAGTTCGTATTTGGAACAAGTAGAGGTCAGTGTGGTAGAGCCTGAAATCTTATGTGTCTTATTTAAAGCCATCAAGAAACTGCCCCAGCTGCTTAATAGGTAATAGTGTAGTAATGTATAAACTCCAGGCTCCCACTCATTTGTGCTCTCACTCACATTATGGTGTTGACCCAGGTGAATTAGTGGCATCTGAACAACGGGAAGCTGGACTAGGACATATAGCAATGTTATTGCTTATATACAGATGAAACCCAGCTGGACTGTAGAACAATATATTTGGGCTCTGTGGTGCAAAGTTCTCCTGTTCAGGATTCTGGCCACCTAATCCTGCCCCCTTTCCAGATGCACCATTCCATGGCCTCCTATCTTCCATTTTCTCTCTCTCCATAATCAGCCTTCTTTGCCGATTTCTTCTTCTTTGTTCTCTTCTAAGCGGTAACTAGGATGGGGCAGTAGGATATGAAAGTTTAGAGGGCACAAAAATTTGTGTCCAAAGGGACATGAACCTATCCACTATTATGCATAGACCACCTTTAGCTTCTCCGTCATGGGGCAGAAGGAAACATAAAACAGATGGGCTCACTACAAAGCCAGAGCTTAATCAGCAAGACAGAGAATCCCCAGGTGCCAAAATTGCTGGTGACAGAGCTGTGTTCCTCTCCTGCTGGATGCCATCATAGCTATTCTGACTTTGGATTCAGCAGCTGTACATGGTTGTGTTGCACTCAATTTAGATTCCAGAGTTCTTTACTCAATAAATTATTGTCCTGCAATGTTTTCCCCATTTTCTTGTCTTAAATGGTCAGTTGTTACAATCTGTACTTTCTGTTTCTCATTACATGGCCAAAGCAATCTTCTTGTTGTTGTTTAGTCATTGTCGTGTCCGATTCTTCATGACCCCATGGACCAGAGCACGCCAGGCCCTCCTGTCTTCCACATCCTCCCAGAGTTGGGTCAAATTCATGTTGGTAGCTTCGATGACACTGTCCAACCATTTCATCCTCTGTCGTCTCCTTCTCCTTTTGCCTTCACACTTTCCCAACATCAGGGTCTTTTCCAGGGAGTCTTTTCTTCTCATGAGATGGCCAAAGTATTAGAGCCTCGCAAAGCAATCTAGCATTCTGTATTTTATATTTTACAACTTCTTAGTCTTTATTAATTCATATTTTATATCTTCACTGGTTACATTTCAATCCAAGAATTTCTTAGCATTCTGCAACAAATCTGTATTTTGGATATTTCTTTCTTTCTTTTAAAAACCTGTGTTGATGTCTGCAATTCTATGCAATACAGTAGAACTGAGAATACATAGCACCATAAAATATGCATTCTCAAAGATAATTTCAATGTTGTATTGAATATTATATTCTTCATCTTAAGGAAGCTGCTCCATGCCATCTCTATTCTGACTTTTATTGCATGGATCTGGTCCTGTTCAAATGAATTTTGTTCAGTCAATCAAATTCCAAGATTATCTATTTTTGTTGACATTTGCCACCTTTGGATATTTTTCTGCTCATTGAATCCTACTCAATCCTCATTATTCTGTTTTGAGCCCTTCTTTAGGATTTACATTCTTAAACACTTTTTGTACAGTATGTTTCCAAATACTGGCATTCCCCTGAGCTTTCTGATTCCTCTCCTTTGTGAACAGATGGAACCATTTTGGGCTATATAAGAAGAGGCCCATAGAAAGTAGGATTTGCCCACAGAAAACATCACAGACAAGTGAACTCTACTGAGAAATTATCTAGTTAAAACTCCGTTGAAGTGCATGGGAGCTGTGCAGTGCTCTGGCACAGTGCCCATTCATTTTCATGGAGCTGATGCAGAATAGCTTCCTGGGGGGGGGGTATGCTCTTATTCTGCATTAGCAAAGCAGGGAAAGAACAGAAGGCAGTTAAAGCAGCTATCAGTGGTCATCATATTTTGGACAACAAAATTACATTACAAAGGGACGGTACCAGCTGAACATCACTAAAGTTTTTATGTATTGAGGACCTGGGGAGGAATGGGTTGCCAGTTGCTTGAAGGAGAGGTGCCCTGTTGTGCTGAGAGTAGCCTGGTTTGTTGCATTGTGCCTGGCACAGCAGTAGCACACCTTGCGCATGGCAATATTAGGAGGCAGGGTTCTCTTCCAACACTATTAGCCCTCTAGTGTTACTCTGTGGAGGGAGATGGAGCAAGGCCTCAGGTTTCTAGGACAGATTCTGATCTGTTGTATGCTAATACCAGGAGTAACTCTTACAATGCTAACTGCTTTGTCCTGCTCTCTAAATTTGACCTTTACCTAAGTTAAGTTGTTCCATAGCAGTCCCTCCAATAACCTAATCCAAGTTATGCTTTTTGTTTTCTCAGGCCTTTGACCACATTCTTTCAGCTATTGAAGATATATCTGGTCAAATAGGACACAATTACCTGAGAGACAAGTAAGTAGTCAGCTCCCTTTACCTCAATGGAAGGGAGCAGTCATAAATGGATGGAAAAAGTTGATTAAAATAGCAAGATATGTTAGTCTGACATTTGGCCATCTAATTACTCAACTAATGCTGAGACAGGTTGGTTCTGTTAGTCAGCTAGTTCCCTTTTCTACTAAGCCATGGAATTACTGGAATTCTCCTTATTCTTCCCAAATCATAGTAGCAGTCCTGATAGATGAAGGCAGAGATTGACTTCTAGATAAAACAAAGAGTTCTAATTATAGATAATTGTTCTTTTGCAAGAACATTGCTATGCCCTCATTGCCCTCCAAATTAATGTTTTACAGGTAACATTGTCCCTTATAATGCATTACAGTAGGATCCCTGTATCCATGAGATCAGTATCCACAGCTTCACTTATCCACAGTCTGAAAATATTAAATAATAATAACAATAATAATTAAAAAACCAGAAATACATATTTCCACAATGTAATAACCAGAACTGGCTATTAGATGGAACCAGATGGAACCAGAGACTATGGGTTCACTATTATCTGTTGGTTTTCTGCATCTGGAGGGAGAGGGCTTAGAACCAATTCCTTCTGAATAAAGGGGTCCTACTGTACTTCCAAGCTCTGGCTGAAGCTGCAGTCATATGTACTATACATTTCTCTGAGTAAAACATGTTGGATAGAGTGGGATTTTCTTGCTAAGTATACATCCATAGAATTTTACTCTAAGAGGGATACTGCTTGGAATGGAATTCCAGGCTTTTCTATCTGAAAAAGAAAATGCTAAATATGTCTTCTAGTCATGCCACTTACATATTGTGTGGTCAAATCATTAGGTGGTCCAATTTTGATAGAGAAGTCCTCAGTAAAGTGCTGATGAGAAGATCTGCTCAGAAAACTAGAGACCGAATTCTTAAAGTTTTCCGTGAACTCAACTTGAAGGATGCCATTAGCTATGTGGCTGAGGTAATTCTAATAAATTTCATGAAATTTATTTTTTTTTATTTATTTTATTTATACCCCACCTATCTGGTCATTGCGACCACTCATGGCGAAGTAAGTAACAGTAATAAATTAGTAATATGGATTCAACCAAGATTAAACTCTCTTAATCCCACTGTTTTCAGTGATATAGGTCACTGGTTCTTAACCTTGGGTTACTCAGGAGTTTTGGACTGCAACTCCCAGAAGCCTTCACCACCAACTGTGCTGGCTGGGGTTTCTGGGAGTTGCAGTTCAAAAACATCCGAGTAACAAAGGTTAAGAACCACTGATATAGGTAAATGTGTGCTAAATTCTTTCAAAGTATAATTAAACTGAACTTAAATTTGCTTAGTTTCTGCTGAGTTGTGCCTGTAATCTTGTGGAACATACCCTATTTTTCGCTCCATAAGACTCACCTTTCCATAAGACGCACTAATTTTTTAGGAGAAGAAAACAGGAAAATATAATCTGTTTTCTTCACTCCATAAGACGCACAGACTTTCCACCCCCCCGTTTTGTGGGAAAAAAGTGCATCTTATGGTGCGAAAAATACGGTACCTTACAGTGATTGTCATAAATCCTCCATTCAGTTGGACCCAAGCTGCAGAGTGGTATACTTGAAGTTGACATAAAGAGCCATAAATTTCAAATTTCACAAATCAGAACTTGGACTTCTTCTCAAGTCTTTTCTTAAAATAGTTGTTTGCAATCTTTAGATGTACTTATATCTTCATTTTCTTTGGTCATTCATGTAGCATTGGCTTCTCAAAGCACTGGTCTTAAGTCCAGCCAGAGGGAAGCACCCATTGCTTTTTTAATTATGATGAACATTTTAAGACCGAATTTGCCTTAGAAGATGGGTGGGTGGTCTCCAGGCTTCTGGAATCTATTTTATTATGGTAAAATATCAAGGTCCATCATCTGATGGCAGTTGAAAAACTGTGGGTTGAGCCAATTTTGACAGAAAGCATTATCTACCACGTTACGTGAGCCTTCTGTTCTACTAATGATGCACGTAACCTGTACTAAACTCCAAACCGGTGATTCCAACACAAAACACTAAAAGCAGCCTCTGTGCGTTTGTATTCTAGAAGTTAAAACTGCTGAGGCTATTAGATAAGGGTAGGATCCAATGGTGTACTTCTGCTACATCCCACAATCCTCCTCCATCCTGTGCTCTCCCATTCCTGAAGAATCTCCCCTCAGAGCACTGGGAAATCATCTGCAGCAGGCTTGGATCCCACCTGCATAACCATGCTAACTGTGCATATAAGTGTGAGGCTTCATTATTATACCCCATCCATCTGATAAAGCAGATAGTAATGAACAACATGTTATGCTAAAATAAATGTGTTAGTTTTCATGGTTCTACAAGAATGATGATGATAATCATGACAATGATGATAATCATGATGATGATGAAAATGATAATATGCTTTATTAGGGGTCCCCAACCTTTTTCACCCTGCGGAGCAGCTGGGGAAGGCGGGGCACCCCCTGTGCTCATGCACATGCATGAACAAGTGCATGCAATCTCTTGCACAAATGAGCATGTGCTTGTGCACATGCACAAGCGGCAGTGCGGCACTTGTGCAGGCATGTGTGCACTCGTGTGCATGCACAAACAGTGGCGCAGCACTCGCACAGGCACGCTGGAGCGTGCATGCAAGCACAGATCAGCTATGTGGGGGTGAGTGCGTGCCGGGTGCAGGAGGTCTGTCTCCATGGCCTGGTCCGGCTCAGGCCACGGCACTGAGCCATGGACCGGGGGTTGGGGACCTCTGCTTTAGTTAGCTAAAGGTGGTTTCACACAACACAAAATGTGCAGGCAATGAAATCACAAGTGCTACATATAGTATCTTTTCAGTGTAACATGGGCAAAGGATGATGACCTCAACATCCCTCTGGCAGTGAAGTGTGCCTGAAGTGTGACACATAGATCTGGGATATGTACCCATCACCTCACTTACAATTGCAGAAGCACATCGTTTGTATAAGCTGTTGGGCCAATTAAATTTATTACCTTTGTCTTATAAAATATTATATTGATTTATTCATAGGTTCACTGTAAGTACTTCCACTGCGGGGGGAAAAAAGAGAAAATATCTTTGTGCGTGATTTGCGTGCAAAGTTTTTGAAATGTTTAGTCCCTATCAAAACTGTTTTAGGGGATAAGAATTGAAAACCTTTCACTTTAAAAATACTGCCAATTGTATAAGATTACTTTAAAAAACATTTTAACTTTAAAAAATGTTTTAGCTGCTTGGTGAAGCTGTTTGAAACTTTGATCCGATTTTTGGTAGCTGAAAATACAAAAGCTTTCAAAATCAAAAACACAGTTTTGATTGAAAATCCTGAAGTTTTAACGTCTGTGTGTATTGAGACCTCTGGGTAGTGTGGGTGGCATATAAATTGAATAAATAATAATAAATAATAATAATATTGTCTTTTGGACAGGGGGAAAGAAGAGGTTCCCTGGCGTTCATCCGCTCTCCCAGTATTGACAACACAGCCAATGTGGACTTCAGCATTATTAATCCAATCAATGGAGAGCCACCTGTCTCCCAGTTGCTGTAAGTGGGTTACAGTTTTGTCCCATATTTTATGAGTTTGACTTTAGCTCTGTGACCAGCTTGTAAACTAATGTACAAATCAGCAGCAGGGCAATGAAGGGAAAAAATATTGAAACATTTTGGATACAGTCCATTTCAAGTGAAGCACTAATTTACTGTATTTTTCCGTGTATAAAATGACACTTTTTACTTAAATAATTAGACAAAAAATTGAGGGTTGTTTTATAAACTGAAGGCAGCCATTTTCCCTGCCTTTTGCAAAGCCACAGGGCAAAGCAGCCGTGAAAGGGCAGCAGGATCAAAGGGGTGCAAGCATGCCGCCCTTTCACGGCTGCATTGCCCATTTCCTAAGCCCCATGGAACATAGGAAGTGAGTAACACAGCCGTGAAAGGGCGGCAGGATCGCACCCCTTTGATCCTGAAGCATCCATGAAAGGGCTTCGGGACCAAAGGGGTACATCGTGCAAATTTTCAAATTTGGGAGTTAGAAAAGGTGGGGGGGGTTGTCTTATAGACAGAAAAATACTGTAAGTTCCCTTGGTTTTAATAGGAGACCTTAACAATCTCATTAGGTCCAAAAGTATTTTATTTTGACTATAATTTAAGTCTGCCAGTTTCACTGTCTAAGGAAATATGCAATATAATCATATACATGTCTGGCTGGAAGTAAGATGAACAGGCGAGAATCCTATTATTTATACTCATCAACATAATTCTAATGGCATATGTCTCAGTGATAAATTGTCACCAGTTGAGAAGCTGAAATTTGTATTTCTTATTCCCCACCAAGTCACATAACTGTTGTACAATGAGAAATACAAGTGCCAATTTCTTAACTTGTGGCAGTTCACCATTGAGGTCTACATGGTTGAACTTGTGCCAGTTGGCACAGATAATAGGATTCTGACCCCTGAGTTCAGTGGAACGTATTCCTTGTAAGTGTAATTAAAATTGCAGCCTTGGGTAAAAATCCAATTATTGGTCTCAACTAGAACAAAACTATTAAGTCAATTGATGAATGTTAAGCTTTTGTGTATCCTACTGATTCAGTTGGTCTTCTCTAGGTGGGACTGTGAATTGGCTGGAGGCCTTAGACTACAGACTGCAGATGTGAGGCTGCATGTCTGAACTCTCTACTACATAAAAACCTCCCTACCATTAGATAACTAGCTTGTCAGGGAGAAGAATTCAGATCCCAACTTCCTGGTGTTCTAGTTTTCTGTATGCAAGGCCTTTCTTGCATAAACATTTATGTGTGCCTCAAAGATAATCTCTTCCAACTCTTGATTCTAATAGCTAGCCAAGAATACATCTACTGTATATATTAGAGCAGGCCATATCTACTGTATATATTAGAGCAGGCCATATTAGACATCTAGTGAATGATGGTTTACTGTGAATAAGCTGGGATCTCACATATGCATTTCAGTTGATCGCAGTTGGCTGTTCCTGGATATGCCAACTGTTAAATTAAGCAGTAATCATTATGTTCACATTTGAAATCCTGGTTTGTTGTATACATTAAAACCAAGATTATAAACCAATGTTTTCTTGGTTGTTATCCCCTGGCTTGTTTGGGAATTAGAAATCAAGATCCTAGGTTTGGATGTCTATTTCTACCACTTTGGCTGTTTGCACTAGGAGGAGAAATGAATCAGAAGGAAATAGTCCAAAAAACAAAATTTGTTTATGGCAAACTTGGCTTTTCACTAGATATGGAGAGCAAAACACAACTTGGCTTGAAAATGTTCAGCTTAGCCTCTCTATATGTGTGTGCGCAAGTGCATGCGCACATATGCTCAACATAATCCAAGTGACAATGACTTGTTTTATCACTTACTGCTTTCCTCCACTCAGTTTAGATTCCTAATTGAAAACTGATTTTATTGTAGAATTGTATCACAGATTCAATTATTTCAGTGTTTTAATGTTTTCAAGTTTGCCAAGTTTGTTATTTGTTGAACAAAAAGCTCCCCCCACCCCCCAAAAAGAGAAAATGAATAGAAAATTGTAAAAGGCCTCTTTTTCTTTAGGAGAGAAAATGTCAGTTCTGTCTGTCTTGATATGCAAGCTCTTGAACAGAGAAGGAAAAGCATCCGAGATGCAGAAGATGTGAGTAGCCACCATACTCTGCAACAGTACTTGTACAAGCCCAGGCAAGAGGTAAGCTCATGCTTATGATAACAATACTTAAATTCAGAGTCAAAAGAGTATAACCATTCAGATTTTTTAATGTTCAGGGAGACATAGAAGTATTTAAGCCATAAGAGTAATAATGTGCACCAACAGGTCAATTTTGACCTACGGTGACCCTTTTTGGGGTTTTCTAGCTTGTGTGTACTAAGAAGAAGTTTGTCATTCACAGCTTGTCCAAAGCCACACAGGCTGACCGTGCAGTGTGATGCACTGTGGGGCACTGAACTCCTCATCCCTGGCTTTGCAGCCAGATACCTAATTTACTAAGATATGCAGCCACATCCTTTATGCTGTACCATATTTTAAAATCGATGTTATCTCACATTAGGAACAGCTATTGCTCACATTAGTCATGCTAACATTGAATTGAATTCAAAAATGCCCCTCTAGATCTTGGAGGAATCGCCTACTCAAAGAAAGACTAGATTATTGCATGGAAAACTGAAACTCAGTCCACAGTTGTTGTTCTTGTGGAAAATCACAGTTATTCGCCTATGAAAGCAGATGGATGTCACCTGCTGTAAAATCCACATATGAAATGTGCAAACTTTTGCAAAAGCTCTCTCCCCACCCACTGCTGCCCAATCAGAGTTCTTTGGATCCAGCTCTTTCATTTGATAACCTTTTTTTAATCATCTGAAGGTCCCTTTTTTAATGAATTAGGGAGATGTGCATTTTCATAGCAGAAAATTACTGTTCCACTGTTAGGCATAACTAACAGTATTTGGGCCGTTGTGAAACATAAACACAAACTGAGCACTGGAACGTCTCTTTTGTGAGATCTGACTTGAGTGGCTTTCATTTATTTAAATGTTAACAAACATTTTTTATTCACTAGGAAGGTCCCCCCCCTTCAAGTCCTCACTGTTATTTTATGCTTTGTATTCAGGATATGGTAAGGGGGAGTAGCAAGAAATTTAATGCATGTTGTTAAAAATAAAAGATTTGTGGCTAGCCGCCTTTGTCACAGGTATTAATTTCTATCTTTTGATTCATCCTTTTACATCGGCTATAGCATAGACTCCTGTACAGTCGTCATAAAATAACTCAGAATGAGGATGATAAGCAAAACAAGGAGATCTTTCACAGAACCATGAGGAAACGCTTGGAGTCTTTCAAGAGCACGAAACTGGGCATGAGTCATACCAAGAAGCTGAACAAACTTCACAAGAGAGAATGGAACCAAAAAAGAGTAAGAACAAAATTTTTGGAAGTGTGTAATGAATGATGGTGAAGGGAGTAGAGAAGTGAAGTATCTGTATCCGTGTTAGGATTTCTAAGTCTCCTGCAGCTCCAATTCTGATGGTGAAACTAAATGTTAAGTGGAATTTATGTTCCCTGACTCAACAACAACAACCATTAATAGAATCAACCTGTTTTCCCTCTCACAACAGAGATCTCAAAGATATGTCCCTTAGCAATCAGCCTTGCAAATTAAATTAATTGTTAAATTAATTAACCATTTATCCTTCAGTAATTGCTTGTTAGCACCTACCAGGTCTGAAGTCTGACATTAAAAGCAAGATTTAGCTCAGCACAAAAACCTGGGAGATATAAAGGATTATTCAAAGGGTATAAAAGCCAAGCCCATGTTATTTGTTAATATGAGATGCCACTAGATTCAGATTAAAGATTTACACATCTTCCCACATAAACTTAAGAACTATCTTATTCACTAATTAATGTGGATCCCAATTATTGAATCTTGTTTACTCCAATCAAACTGCAATTGAGTTTACTTGTTCTGGATCTATTTGTGACATTTCTCTTCTGGCTTTTCGCTGATCAATTCAAGGAACAGTACCTGGCCCTCTCGTCCCACAGTTACCCTCACAGCAATTCTCTGAGGTAGAGCAGGCTGGGAAAGAAGGATTGGCCCAAGATGAGGTCACTTATCAAACATTGGGGTTTGTTTTGATCAGGCAACCTTCCTGATAGACAGAGGGAATGCTGTAGACATAGTATATCAATACTTCAGCAAAGGTTTTGACAAAGTGCCCCATGATATCCTGATTAGCAAGCTAACTGTGGGCTGGATAGAACAACTGTCAGGTGGATACACAGTTGGCTACAAAAATGTAGTCAGAGGATGATGATTAATGGTTCCTTCTCAAACTGGGAGGAGGTAACAAGTGGAGTATCACAAGGCTCAGTCCTGGGCCCAGTGCCCTTCAACATTTTATTAATGACCTGGATCAGGGGATATTGGGAATGCTAATAAAATCTGTGGAGGACACAAAATGTGGTGGAATAGCTAACACCCTGGAAGACAGAAACAAAATTCAAAATTATCTAGATAGACTTGAGCACTGGACTGAAAACAATAGAATGAAATTCAACAGGGATAAGTGCAAAGTACTGCACCTAGGAAAAAGAAACCAAACACATAGTTACAGGATGGGGAATACCTGGCTCAGTCATACTATGAATGAGAAAGATCTTGGAATCGTTGTAGATAACAAGTTGAATATGAACCAACAGTGTGAAGCAGCTACAAAAAGGCAAATGCTATTTTAGGCTGCATGAACAGAACTATAGTCTCCAGATCCTGCTAGTTCTCTTCTGTTCAGCACTAGTTAGGCTTTGAATATTGTGTCCAGTTCTGCAACCACACTTCGAGAAGGATGCCAACAGATTGGAACAAGTTCAGAGGAAGGCAACAAGAATGAGCAGGGAGCTGGAAAACAAGCCTTATGAGGAAAGACTGAAAGAATTGGGCAGCTTTAGCCTTGAGAAAAGAAGACTAAGGGGAAATACGATAGTACTTTTCAGATACTTGAAAGGCTGTCATTTAGAGGACGGGGCAGGATCTGTTCTCAGTCATCTCTTAAGTGCAGGACACACAACAATGGGGTCACGTTACAGGAAGCCAAATTTTGGTTGAATGTCAGGAAAAACTTTCTAACTGTTAGAGCAGTAAGACAGTGGAACCAATTACCTCAAGTGGTGGTGAGTGTAGCAACACTGGAAACATTGAAGAAAAAATTAGATATCCACCTGGCAGATATCCTTTGATTTGTATTCCTGCAATGATCAGGGGGTTGGACTCGATGGCCTTATAGGCCCCTTCCAACTTCATGGTCTAAAATCTCCATGTCTCCAGTCCCACTCTAATGACCATGTTATGGTGGCAGCTGGTGCCCATTGTGGCTGGTGAAGCAAAAGGCACAGATGGCAGCCAATGATGGGCATTAAAATGCAATCATTTTCAAATATTAAAATAGAATTATACACACAGAGTTATTAAAATACAGTTAAAATTAGAAAACTTAAAAATATTAATAATACTTTGTCATTGTCATTATGTGCCTCTGTCACCTCTGATTTGTGGTGACCCTATGAATGAGTGACCTCCACAGTGTCTTATCATCACCAACCCTATTCAGGTTTTGCAAACTCAATGCCATTGTTGGCTTTATTGAGTCAACCCGTCACATATTTGGACTTCCTCTTTTCCTGTTGCCTTTAAACTTTCTTAGCATTACAGTGGTCCCTCGACTTAGGAATGTAATTGGTTCAGGAAGATGGGTGTAAGTCGAAATGGTAGTAAGCTGAAGCACAATTTCCTATTGAAATGCATTGAAATGCAATTACAGTAATCCATTCCGGCCGAAGGAAAAAAATCACAAAAAAATAAATAAATCACTGCAAGACTCATTGGAGATGCGATCAATCCCTTCCAGTTGAAATGGGGGGGGGGGGGAAAAAGCACCTCCCCCTGCCACTGTCAAGTAGTAGTTGAGGATAAAGAGGGTGACATCTAGTGTTCTGTTCTATGCAGCATAGAGTTACAGATGAGGAGCTTGGCTCTTATTTCCAAGTTCAAAGACGTTGATGTTGACTAAAACAATGCTAGGATGTGTTGTGTATTCCTGTTATACAAGGACAGGACACCATGCACACACATATAGTCACAGAGCGTATCAAATTTTGATAAGAATTTTCCCACTGCTCAAACAATTTTAATACTAAGCATTTTTCTGCAGTTAAAACAGTTATAACTAGGCATTCAAAGGTGTAAATCACTGGTTCTTAACCTCAGGTTACTCAGGAGTTTTGGACTGCAACTCCCAGAAGCCTTCATCACCAACTGTGCTGGCTGGGGTTCCTGGGAATTGCAGTTCAAAAACATCCGAGTAACAAAGGTTAAGAACCACTGGTGTAAATGAAACCACTAATGAAAAAAAAGTTTCATTTAAACTGCTGGATATTACAGAGATGGATAAGTTAAAAGACACTGACTGAAACCTTTGCAATGAAATTCTCTGTTTAAATTGTGCTGCATTTTGAAAATTACCACCCTAATTTTTACAATTACCACCCTAATGCCAAAGGTCCTGAGGCTCCCAAGCAATCACTTTCACTGTCAGAAAGCTGTTGTGAACTGCAAGACAGGAGGAATTCTTTAATTTCTGAAAATTGTCACTGACAGGATTATTTTAGCAGTGGTAGCCATTTTTGGAAATGAAATATTTCTCCCTTGTCTCCTGGCCCCTAAGGTTTGTCCATGATACAATACTTAATTTATTGTTATCCTTATGGTTTAAATGTTGTTGTTTATTTTATTTTATTATTCTTGTATATTGTTAGCCACACAGAGTAGACTTCGCTCTAGATGTGCGATAGGTAGGTAGGTAGGTAGGTAGGTAGGTAGGTAGGTAGGTAGATAGGTAGGTAGATAGGTAGGTAGATAGATAGATAGATAGATAGATAGATAGATAGATAGATAGATAGATAGATAGATAGATAGATAGATAGATAGATAGATAGATAGATAGATAGATAGATAGA